CCCAATGAATAGGGTATTATTTTAACAATTCTTTAAAAAATTTTCTGTTCTGAAAACCTTTTTCTAGATCTTAAAAATTCTTAAATAAAGGTGATAGGTGGTGATGAGTAGCTAATATGATACTACTTAGAAAAGCATATTTTCTAAAAATATTGGAGAACATAGTTCTTCCTTGCCTTCTCATCCCTCCCCTCTCAGCAGCCATCTGTTTATTCCTCTTTATCTGTCAGTCAACCACAGGTTGTTCTGTCACCTCTGGCTTATTAATGAGTATGCATATTTTTACAGATAACATAGTTTACTGTCCCTTTATGGAAATATGCTTTTTTTAAATAAGCTCATGTAATTTAATATTTTAGTAAACAACTTTTGATGATTTTCTAAGAGTATTTAAAGCAGTGCCTATTGTTTATAAAGTGCTTTCTTATCTAATTTCTTATCTGATGCTCACAACTCTGTTAGTCAAATAGCATGTAGTCTCCTCTCCATCTTCAGATTAGAAAACTGATAGAAAACTTCACTCATTTACTCAGGATCATAAAGTGAGTTAAGTAGCAAAGTGAAGGCTCAAGCTTAGCTCTTTTGGCAGCAGATCTAGTGACCTACCCACTAGAATATGCAGGAGTCCGTCTAGTTATCTACACATCCATCCATTTATTCAACAAGTATTCGTTGAATGTCTGTTATGTGTTAGACATTGGAGTAGGTACTGGGAATCTACTGGTGATTAAGAAATAGTCCCTCCCATTAGGGAACTTTTAGAAAATTTCTAATTGATTCATCATCAACCAGCTCTTTCCTCACACCCTTATATAAAATACTATAAAATCACTCCCATCTTAAAAACAACAAAAGTCTGCATTGTCAGCCACATATTTTCTTCTAGCTACTTCCTTGTCTCTTCATCCTTGCATAGCTGAGCTTCTTGAAAGACTATTGTGTATTCATCTTTCTCTCACCACGCATTCCATCTTCACTGCATTGTATTCTGGTTTCCAGAGGCCTTTGAATTGCCAAAAATAGGTCTTTTTCTATCTTTATATTATTTGATCTATACCTGACACTTAATATTTTTGACCACTCTTTTATTCTCGACTTTTGTGAAACCACACTCTTGGCTTTATCCCTAGCTGACTTTTTCTTCTTAGTCTTCTTCGTTAAGGGCTCATCTACCCATGTCTTCTTGTGGTGATCCCTAGTGTCCATCTTAGGCAATCTACTTTTTTTCACTTATTAATACACTCTTCTTAGTGTTCTTATTGAAACCTACCCTTTTACCTATAATGACTGCAATATCTATGTTTCCAATGTTGAGTTTTTGCAATTTCTGGATATTTCTTGCTGTCTGGACAGCAAGAAATTGAGTGGCTCAAAATACTGGCTCCATTATCTATGCAAGAATCATGAGAACTCTTTTCTCTTGCTCTCTACACCTGATAAATAAATCACCAAGCCTGTTGATTCTGTCTCATAAATTTCTCTGGAATTGGCCTCCTACTTTCCATCTCTGTATCAATTAATCTACCATTGGTTCCTGCCTAGATCACTGCAGTAACTTTCCCCATCTAGCACTGCTCAATAGAACTTTCAGTGATAATGCAAATATTGTGTATCTGTGTTGTCCAGTGCAGTAGCCACTAGCCATATGTGGCTTTTGAGCACTTAAAATGTAACTAGTTTGACTGAGGAACTGAATTTTAAAATTTTATTTTACCTTAATTAGCTGAAATTTACATTCAAATGGTGACATGTGGTTACTGGCTCCCATACGAGACAGCACAGAATAGCCTCTCTACTTTCAGTCTTCCCCATACCCACTCTGCCAATCTGTTATCACACTGCTGGCCGCTGTCAGACCATTGGCCTGTGCAACCTTTCCAAAATGTAAATCTGATCATATAACCCCTGCCTTCTCACATTATAAACCTCCAGTACGTTCCCATATTTTTCAGAATAAAGTATAGATATCCTCAGCTACTCCCCCTCCCTGGCCCACTTCTCTTCCCCAGCACATTCCTCAGATACCAGCTGTGCCAAACCACTTGTAGTTTCCTGAATATGCCATGCTGGCTTTGTTTTTTTTTTGATTTTTAAAAACATTTTATTTTGAAATAGTTACAGACTCACAGGAAATTGCAAAAATAGTCCCTTCACTCAGCTTCCCTTAATGGTGACATATAATGTAGGTGTCGTGGAATGTCAAAACCAGGAAATTAACATTGGTACAATTCTGTTGTCTAGACTATGACCTTATTTCATATTCACTTTTCACTTGTTTTTATGTGTACTTACGTATGTGTGTGTATGTTGTTTTATGTACTTTTATCACCATAAATGAACTCCCCTCATGCTACTTCTTCATTTTCTCACCTACTCCCCAGCCCTGTCCTTGTCCCCTGGCAACCACTAATCTGTCCTCCATCTCAGCAGTTTTGTCACCTCAAGAGTGTTTTATGCATGAAATCGTATTAACATAATATGTCACCTATTGAGATTAGTTCTTTTGACTAAGCATAATGCACTGGAGATCTATACAGGTTGTTGCAGTACCATGACATTCTCCTTTCATCATTTCGGTATGTGTTAGTCCTGCTGTTTGTTCATCTCTGAGGACTAAGCTTGGATTTTGCTTGTCTTGGTGTAAGTTAGATGCTCCTTCCTCTGTTCTCTTATAACCCGTGTTTGTATGTCTTCTTTTATCGTATTGTACTGTAATTAGGTATTTAGTTCACTGTCTTC